GCCACCTCCATGGGGAAGCGGCCACCCTCAGGGCTCAGCAACTCGGCCGGGCAGCGCTCACAGGGGCTGACACCCGCCGTGCTGTACTGCGCCTGGATGCAGGGCATCTCTGTGGGGAAGAGCAGGGCGTCAGCAGGGACCCCACTGCCACACCCATCCCCCACGGCCCCTCCGTCCTGGGGGGAGGATGGAGATTAGGCAAGAACCGTGGGGGCTTCCCCAGGATACCCCTCGTGCCACAGCCCCGACCCCTGGAGCCACTGGCTGTCCGGTGGCAGCCGCCGGCCGCCCAGGAAAGGTCACGCCGCAGCCAATGGGCGCAAAGGACATTCCCCAAAACGCTGGCTTAGCAGAGCCACCGAAAGGGGAGGAGGGAGGAATGCGGCCGGCAGCTTCCTGAGCCCCACGGCTGACCAGGGGAAGTCGGAGCTGAACCAGGGCTTGAGGGTCCCACTCCCCCCATGACCCATTTCAGCGCCTTTTGGAAAAGCAAACGCAGCCAGACCTGCCGGCTGTGGGTGTAGAGGAGCCCACCTCCCTGTCCCTGCAGCCCCCCGGCACTGCGGCACGGATCCGGCCCCACGTAAGACGTAACAGGAGTCCCAAGTCCAGCTGAAAGCCAAGCCAGGAGTGACCCTGATGGCAAGACGATAATGTAATTCATCTTGCAGACCTTTAAAGGTCACACCGCTCCTGGCCCCCGGCCGCTGCAGCCCCGGCACGGCACCGCTGCCAGCTCACTGCCGGCCCCTGGCTTCCCCCAGCCAAGGCCGGGCAGCTTTTCCCGGTGCCGAGAAAACCGATACCCACCCAGGGAGCCGGGTTTAAAAATACCCAGCGTGGGTTCAGCCCTGGCACCCACGGGGTGGCACCAGCCCCCAGTTCACTTCCAGTGCCCTGGTGGGGTTCATGTCCATCCACCAGGCACCAGGGCTGTGCTGGGCTCAGATGGTGGGTCCAGAGGGGATGGTGACCCCGCAGCTGCTTCCTGTCCCTGCATACAGCCGGGGGGCATGAGGCTGTGCTGGGGACATGGCATCGGGGGGACATCAGCTCTGCTGGTGGCAACTTTCCTCACCTGCATGCAAATCCCGACTGCAAATCACCGGCTGGGCTATGCAAAGCCTCAACCCTTCCTGCAGCACGGGCTTTGCCTGGCAGCAGCAGGCAGTGCCCGGCACAGTCACCGCTTCCTTATTCAAATGCTTATGCCTTTGCCGGCAGCATTTGGGGTCCCCCCCTTGCCATGAACCTCCCACCCTGGGGGACGAGGCACAAATTCCCGCAGCCGCCCCCATGCTGCCCACGGCCTGGGCACTAATTGCAGATTCTTAGTTTGGGAGTGCTGGCAGCTGCCTGTGCCCAGGTCCAGAGGCC